CACCAAAGGCTTTCTCTAATGAAAGTGCTGTAGTTCTTATAGTGCTGCAGGTGACCTCTCTCCATGGTTAATGTCAGATGTTAGCTGATAGTTTAGCGGCTCCATGTTCTCCTCTGTTCTCGGTGTTTGTGATGCAATAAAAACCTCGATGGAATAAAACCCAGCCTCTATATTCATTAGGGGTTGATAGGATGGGCTTTTATTTAATGTCATATTAATATGGAGGACTGAATAAAACACTCAAAGATAAACTTTACTTTTAAGTGTACTTTCTGGGTAAATGTGGCTTTTTAAACCTTTAATGCTAAAGAAACATCCTGGTTAGATTTAGCAATATAACAAAGAAATCAAAGAATAAATGTTTAAAATCTCAAAGAAACCGTTTTCCATATAGGCTAAATATATTTATTTAATCTTAGTTTTAAAAGATCAAAACACAAACGTGTCCTTAGTTAAAGATCAGCTCAATGTTTTTAACAAATAGGTTTTTTAATAACTTTTCTTTAAAGTTTATATCTGATAATCTGGCCCATTAACGAGAGGCTTCAGCTTCAGCCTGGATTAAATGGGATTAAAATGAGATTAGTTGAACTGACCTGAAGCTAAGGCAGGTCTCTCCAGGGTCCGTCCAGATGTTTCCTGCTCTTCAACAGGAGGAGGTTGAAGCTGGAAAAACATAGAGGTGTTCCACCATCTCAGGAGCTGTGGGTTCGAGCAGCAGCCAGGTGTGTCTTACCTTCCAGGTGATCCGCTCAGATGGCCGCGGGAAGCAGCTCTCTTTGTGTGGGACGGTGGAGGAGCTGAGGGCTGCGCTGCTCCATGGGAGGGGCTCTGAGAGGAATGCTGCCTGCTCTGTCTGCTTCCTGCTTTAGGTTCCACCTTCATGAAGAGGAGGAGAGTCTGCAGCAGTTAGACCCACATGCTGCAGAAAACTGCTAAATCCGCCTGAAAGGAAAAACCCAGAAACAGGAGGAACACAGGCTGGAAAATAAAAACCGTAGAATTATAATAATTTATTAAACATTAATAACAAAAACAATCACAAAACTAAAACTATTAACACTAAAAGCTGCTGAGCTCCAGTTTTATTAACAAAAACTGATTAGAAGTGATGAAAATCATTTTTGATCAAAGGTGAAAAAATGAAATTCCTACTTATAAAATTTAAAGGAATAGTACACCCAAAACATGATTAGCCTTCATTTTCTACTCACCCCCATGCTGAACAACACTC